GGGAGACCGGCCCAGGTCTCAAAAAGGTTGCCTGTCCCTGGTATAGACACTATAGTATTCCTCTTTTCTTAAAGTCAGTTTTCAATCTTTGGGGTCAACAGAATTGCAATCGAATAGAAATGTGCCTGTTTGGAATTTAAGAATATGTAATGGGTGCCAAAACAAAAAGGCTGTTAATGGGGGTGAGGGAGCAATGGGCATGGTAAATCACAAAAACCCATTGGAAGACAAACTGTTGAAAGTGAAAATAACTTGTCTCAAATAATGAATACATGTGAAGTCCATGCCACAAAACATGAATCCATCCATTTCCATCCATTTGTTGTTGTTGAGTGCCTTCACGTTGTTTCGACTTATGACAACCCGCAAGGCGAAGTTATCATGGGGTTTTTCTTGGCATGATTTGTTCAAAGGGGATTTGCTATTGCTTTCCCCTGAGGCTGAGACTGTGTGGCATGCTGTGTGGATTTCCATGGCTGAGCTGGGAATCAAACCATGGTCTTCAGAATCTTAGTCCAATATTCAAACCACTACACCACACTGGGTTTTTTTGCACCCATAGTGTAGTCCAGACACAATTCCAGCTCTCATTTCAGAATCACACTCAGTCCTCTCTCAACCCACATTTTCAAGAACCAAGATATGAATCATTACTTATTTTTCTCTTTCAGGATCTCAAATAACCCAAAACCTCCTCCGGGCACAGATCATTCCTCTTTTCTCAGCTTTACCAGGTAGCTACTTTTGGCACCTAGAGGAGGTATCTAGGAGTACTGGGACACACATGGGCACCGTGTTGCCAATCTAAAAGTGGACAACTGGTCCCAACTGAGTGTTTCTTTGGAACAATAATATGTATTCTTGGTAGTTGCTGAATAGATATAGAGCTATTTGTAAAACCACTGGAGATTCACTAGAAAGTCTGATCAATTAGCAGACAAGATGCAGGACCTTTACACATAGAGTGAGATTTTATGTTTGAGAATAAATACACAGAAAATGTTGACATATTTTGTATTTTTAGATATTACCTGTCTGATCCTTATTGATGGGACAGGCACAAATAAAAGTGTTTGTTCTTGTGTGCCTTCAAGTCATTTCTGATTTACGGCGACCGTAAGGTAAGCCTATCATGAGGTTTTCTTGGCAAGATTTGTTCAGAGGGGATTTGCCTTTGCTTTCCTCTAAGGCTGAGAGAATATGCCATGCCCAAGGTCACCCAGTGGGTTTCCATGGCTAAGGGGGGATTTGAACCCTCGAGAGTCATAGGACTTTATCACAGGGGGGAAATTCCATGCAGAAACAGGGTTTTAAACAGGAGAAAAAACTGCAAAAGCAGATAGATTTTTAGACGATGTCACTTTTAAAGTGTGCTTAACCCAAATGGAAAGTAGTCAAAAGCCGCTTTTTACTTTCGGCTTTTGACTACTTTCTGTTCAGGTTAACAACTGTTTAACAGTGATGTGTGTGAAAATCTACCTGCTTTTGTGGGTTTTCCCCACCTTTTAAATCCCGTTTCAGCATGGGATTTCCCCTGTGTGATAAGGTCCATAGTCCAGCGCTCAAACCACTACACAACATTGGATCAAATAGAGGCATGCAAAACATAATGCAAAATCAGTTACATGATTTTGCCAGCAGATGGCACTACTTGCATAGATTTTGTGTACACAAGTGTATTCTAGAGTTTGTTGTGTGCCTTCAAGTAATTTCCAATTTATGGTAACCCTAACCTATCATGTGGTTTTCTTAGCAAGATTTGTTCAGAGGAGGTTTGCCATCGCCTCCCGCTGGCTCTTGAAATATAGAGCATTTAAAACATAATGAGATTTATTCGTGCCATATCGAAATAAAGAAATTTGGATAGCAAGACTGTTTTGATCAAAACTGGATTGAAAACTTTAAATGTAAACAACTTTCTTTTATAGTGTCACATGACATCAATTCAGATTTTAGCATGCTTGTTTGCTTTTACTTGCCCAATTATTTCATTTTTCTTTCTTCCCACCTTATATATATATTATGTAGTTTCAATGGAGTTCCTTTCTTGCCCAGTATCCTCTCTCAAGAGGCTTTTATTATTCATCCTTGCAGCAATATATTTTTATATTCATCATTTTAATCCCATGTTTCAATCAAATAGGTTCTCAATTCAAGGCAGCTCCCATAGCATCAGTACAAATATTCTAAATACGGTAGCAATATATTCTAGGGACGCAATTTTGCTAAACTCTAATTTTCTAGTCTTCATTAATAAACATTCTACAAAAACAAGCTCTTAGGTTTTCTGGAAATGTAACTCTTTTGCTGAGGTACATTTCAGCTACTAACAGGTCGGCATCCTTTTGTGAATGAGAGGTGTGAAGTCTTACAGGCCTACTGTAATCTCTCTACAGTATCACAGTTTTGAGGATAATATGAGCAAAAGTAGACAAAACATTAAATCAAAGCAGCAGTACCCTGTCATATTTATTTTACCTACTCAGGATGTGCAGCGTATCACAAGAAATCATCGCTGCCTACATTGAGATGAATGCAGAACAGATTAAGCATAAGCAAGTTAACAAATACCACTGCCCATTGTGCAACTGCGAAAGGCTATATATAAAGACATATGCCATGTAAACCTACAGTAGATAAGGATAAGGATATGAGGATAAGCTGGGAGAGGAATGTGTCAGAGCAATCCAAGCTACACACTTGACTAAGCGTTTTTCTCATGGGCAGATTCACATTTATAAAATGTAGTGATAATTATTATTGTCAGGGGTAACATGAACAAGAGATAATATAGTTTTGTTTTTTCTTCCTTTTGGGGGTGGAGGATGGGGGGAGGCACATTAACTCTAACATTCCCCAGAATGGCATCAATATTTCAATCTGATGGGAAATATGTGGACCTCCAAACATTGTTGGTCCTCAGACTCAGCAGCGCTAGCTCTCCTAGCTGATGGTACAGAATGCTGGGAATTGCACTCCAGCAACATCTGGGGAACACACGTTTCTCACCTTGATATGGATTGTCTGTTCTAGGGAACTTATATAAAAGCTTCAGCCACTATCTATGTCCTAGTGATTTCTCTTCACAGACCTCTGTGGTGTTCATTAAGCTGCTCTTTGTGGGGATTTTGAAATCCAAATATACCAGAATACCGCTGCTCATCAGTTATAGTGTATGAATCAACATGTGAAGTCATATGAAGCTTATCTTGAACTGGTGGCCAGCTCATTTGGGGATGGGAGGGGATGAATTCAAAAGTGCTGCATTTGACTTCTCCCCATGGATAAGGCAGGGAACAACAACAATTAACAGACACATCATATCAGTTAAAACACAGCAGGTAAAATACACATCAGTTTAAGATGACATATACAATTTAAAAAGGTGAAGACAATGCACATATTAAAACAATCCATATTTAAAATTCATCATTTAAAAGTCACAATTTAAAAATCATCTGGGTAAGCCTGTCGGAAGAGAATGGTCTTTAATACTCTTTTAAATCCAGACAGTGTATTCAGCTGTCAAATCTCTTCCAGTAGGTCATTCCACGTCTAGGGCAGGGATAGGCAACCTAAGGCCCGGGGACCGGATGCGCCCCCCCCCCCAAGGCCTTTGAACCGGCCCCAGGTCGGTCCTGGTGCTGCCGCCGCTGCCACCACTGCCTGCCATGATGATATTGATTATTGTTGTTATTACTTGTTCTTGGGGGTTTTCTTGGCAAAATCTCCACAGGGGTTTTGCCATGGATTTTCTGGGGCTGAGAGAGTGTGCATGCATATTTTTTTAATGTTTTAATGTTTAAATTATTTTTATTTATTTATTTATTTATTTATTTATTTTTGGTGCTTCGGCCCCCCAATTGTCTGAGGGACAGCAACCCTGCCCCCGGCTCAAAAAGGTTGCCTACCCCTGGTCTAGGGGCAGCTAAAAGAAAGGTCCTCTGGCTGACAGCCCTAAACAACCTGAGTCCTGATTATTTTGAAAAACGTCTCCTCCTGTATCAGCTCCCTTCATACTTAAGATGAACAGAAGAGACACTTAGGAAAGTGTCACTCAGTCAGGGCTGATCCCTCCATTAGGTAGAGCCTTCAAGTAGCAGATGCTGAGAAGCAATAGCATGGTGTTGGAGTAGCATAACTAGGGTTGGTGTCTCCTGGTGCTGGAACTCATAGTGTCTCACATACACACACACACACAGACCACACCACACCATAAAGATGCTTTTTGTACTAATGTTACTCGCAAATTGTAATTCCCATTTATACTGAATGCAATGGGAATAGTTGTGACATAAACAACTACCAAAATTAAAATTATACCTTTACATTACAATACCCTATGCACAGCCTAAAAATATTTACGTGTACATTGTTTCTTGTGATTAAAGTGAAAAAAATTTGGTAAGATGTGGGTTTTTAAAGAAAATTTAAAAAGAGTAGTTTAATTAATTTTAAAAAAAAATCTGGGGCCTCTCCTTTCTCTTCCTTCCGAGCCTCAGCCCACTCACACCATCTCTTCAGTGTTTTAAGAGAACACAGAAAAATGACAAAGCCCATTTCTTCCAAATGGCAGATACTTGGGGACCACTCCATCTAGGGCAGACCTGCATAACTTAGCAGCGGGAGGGGGAGCAAAATTAAAATAGGCTAAAGTTCATTGGGGCATATATAGGTTTTAATTAAATATTAATGAATTAATAATATTAATTATAATTAATTAATATTAATTCTGCCCCCCCTCCTCCTCTGCCCAGCCCTCTCCTCAGGAGAAAACTGAGCAGCAGAGCAGCCTTGCTTGTCCTTCTCCTCCTATTCCTCCTCCACCCGGACTTCCCCTGAGGAGGAGGCCGAGTGATGGAGGAGCCTTGAGGGTGAGCATTTGCCACTCTTCCTCCTCTGCTACCCAACCTTCTCATGAGAAAGCTGGGCAATGGAGGAGCATTGTAGGGGAGTATTTGCCTGTCTTCCTCTTCCTCCTCCACCCGTCCTTCTCCTCAGGAGAAGTCTAGCAGTAGAGGAGCCATGCAGGGTGGGTGTTTGCCCATCCTCCTCCACCGCTGCCACCTGGCCTTCTCCTCAGGACAAAGCAGGTTGGTGGAAGAATCTTGCAGGGCAAGCATTTACCCATCCTCCATCGCTGCCTGGTCTTCTCCTTGGCAGAAAGCCAGGCAGCTGAGAAGTTTTAAGGGACAAGCATTTGCCCATCCTCATCCTCCTCCATCCAGCCTTCTCAGGAGAAAGGCAAGCAGCCTTCTCCTCAAGAGAGAGTCAGCTGGAAGAGGAGCCTTGCAGGGCGAGCATTCACCCTTCCTCTTCCTCCTCTGCATACCCTCTCCTCAGGAGGAGACTGAGCAGCATAGGAGTCTTGAAGTTATTCCACACCCTCATGGACCACCCAAAATCCTTTGGCAGGCCACATGTGGCCCCTGGGCCTTATGTTGTGCAGGCCTAATCTAAGGTGTCAATTGGTGTGGTCCGCAACCCCTGAACCACCAAATGATATCCCTGGGAGAGAGTTCTGTGTCATGTAAACTTACCTCTG